GTTGTCAGGGGAATTAAAATGAATGGATCTAAGCTGGGAGTTCGGAAGCTCCAGCATGCATGAGAATCACCCGAAGGACAAACAGATACCAGCCCTCACCACCACCTGTGGCCTGGTGAGCACCTACTGTGGCTGAGACAGGTAATTCTGGCTCATATGACTGTCCTCTCTTGCAGGAAGGATTGGTGTTACAGGCAGAAGACAGAGGGGTTAGAAGTTAGAGTTCAGCGACAGTAGGGACTTTGGTCCTCCTATCTGCACTGGACCTAGCCTATACCAATGATGGTAGCCTTATCCCTGTGTTTGTCCATGCCGCATAATACTTACAGATCAGACTGAAGTTATTCAGCATCGCTGACCCAGGTAGAGGGGGTCACAATCATATCAGGAAACCAGGAAAAGGAGTGACCTTCATCTTCCGTCAGTGAACTACAGCATCAGTCTTACAGTCATCTCTGTTTTAACCTACTTGGCCCAAACCTTAACACCATTTCCTTCAAGTACCTGGTTTCCCTCCCAGCTGCTCACAACTCACCAAGATATGCAGTGTGCAAGCAGAAATTGCATAAATATTTGCAGTAACATTTAAATTGGGCACACATCATAGTAACGTATAGTTTTGGTAAAAATCAGTGGCTTAGTCCTCTCACTCACCAACGGTACTTTAAGGATAACCACACTTAATAAAAACAGCAATACTAGTTGTGCTAGTGGATGCTTGGCAGACTCCCCAAGCTTTCCAGGGCACCACCTAACTCTGCCTTCTTCCTGTGACTGTGGACAAGCTGCCAGTGTTCTACTTGAATTCAGTCAGCACTACTCTAAGTTGCTCAGCTTCCTTCATCTTAGGGAAGTCTTCACACAAAACAGTGTGCAATGATCACAGTACACTTTCATGGTGGACTGATTTTCATGCGTAAGGTTGTTGCAAACAGGTATAGCAGGGATGGGACTGGTACATCCAGTAATAATGCACACAGTGTCACACCCACTTTCAACACTGTTCCTTTAATTGCCGTTTTCCTTAATATCAACATTTATGTATTTGCTAGGGCATCCACATGTTAGAGTATTCTGAATTTGAAAACAAATCCTCACCCTCAAAACTCCTTCCAGAGATAGCAGTAATTTTTGGTTCCCGTTTATAGCAAAACTCTTCAAAAGATCTGCCCATAATTACTGTTTTCCATTCCTTCACCGGGCTCTGCTCTTGAATTCACCCTCTTCAAACTCTTATCTCCACCATTCCATATGGAGACAGCACTTGTCAAGGTCACTGGTACTGACAGCAGTGCCACCTCCCAGAGTTAATTGCTGGTCCACAGTTCTAGCTACTCTTCCCTGAAGTGTTTTCTTTCCAGGGTGTCAGGCCCCTGGCTTCTCTGCATTGGCTCACTGCCTGACCTCTGAATGATGGCACGCCCAGCCTCAGTCCTAAGGCTTTTTGTTTTCAGGGCATACATTTTCTTCCTGGGAGTTCTCTTTCTGTTCCCTGGCCTAAGATCCTAACCATGGCTGTGCCACATAGAGGGACAACTCTAGTCCCAACTTTTCCCTTTGTCCAGCTACTTCCTCATTTTAATGTCCATTTGGGTATCTAAAAGCATCTTGCTTGTTTTCTGAGACAGGGTTTCACTCTGTACCTCAGGGTTTCCTGGAATTCACTAGGTAGTTCAGGCCTTTCTTGCTATTCTCCTGTCTCAGAATCCTGAATACTAGAATGGCAAGCATCAACCTGGACACTAACAGCTCTTTGAACTTACATTTGTCACAGACTTCTTCCTACCTCTCACTCTGTGAATGCCTCCTCTCTGTATTTTTCCACTTAACTGATTGGTACCATGACTGGTCCTTTTGCTTAGGCTCCAAACCTAAGGACCATCATTAATCATTTCTCCTTCTTTCCACCCATATCCAGTCACCTGAAGGCATCATCATCCTTGCCTCAATCAATCTTGATATTACCTTCATCGATACCCACCTGTCCAAGCCACCCTCCAAAGGAAGATCCATCCTCCTTTCTCTTCTTTCTCTTTTGTCTCTCTATCCACACCCAGCAATAATGCATCGGTGTCAAGTTTACTTTTAGACCCATGAGTACTATTCCACTAGGGCATTCCTATGAGTTCATCCAGACGTGCTCACACACATGTGACACACACACACACACACACACACACACACACACACACACAGTATGAGAGAGAGATTTATATCTGCATTACTCATTTGAAAGTTAAGTTGATTATTGTATGTTATCTGAAGCCAACATATGCACAAGAAACACAAAACAAGGACCTGAGATTGCAAGTGAAGAGCCCCAACTTCCCTCAACAGACAAGTGTGGTATAAGCTTATCTTCTAGAAAGCTGAGACTTTATTTTTGTACTTTACTTCACAATGTGTATGGGAAGGAGGTGGAGAGAAACTTCTGTCAATGTGTCCTGTATTTTTGGTTCTTAGTTTTCAACATCCTTATGTTCCTTTTTCCTGGGCTGGAAGAGTGGTTATCCTTATCAGAAACATCTACCAGGTACTTACAAGGAGCACAGGGTAGCTGTGCAAGATGGAGGGCCAAATTCCAGTCCTCATGCAATTGAGACCTGCTATATCTGCTGTATTTCAAAATGACCAGACAGGTGCCAATAAACAAAACCTGTACAAGGAGTCAGGCATCTGGACACAGCTTTTAGAGGAAGAGTGATAGGACCAAGACAACACAGCAAAGGATGATAGTTAGAGGTGTATGATTCCCGTGAAAACAGGAATGATGAACACATAAAAGACTATTACTTTTGAGGGAAAGGCAACATGGCTATGTTCAAGGGTAGAGCGATGGTGACTTCTCAGCTAAGGCTAATGAGAGTTGGAATGTGAGTTAAAATGACCCTTTGAGAGGCCTTCATCAAATGTTCATCTAAGAAAGTTAGCAGCATGGGAGACAGGTGGTGAACTTTGAAGACAGGTATTCTTATAAGCCAATATAACAGTTAGCAAAGTGCAACCTTTTCTTTCAGTGTATACGCTTAAAAATATTTTAAATAACTTTAATATCTTTCAGGGCAAATGTATGGACTGAATTATATTTATAAAGCAAGGCACTTCACATATGGTTTCCTAATTTGAATAGGAAGTGGCTACTGTGATTAAGAGAAACAACCAGAGTGAGGAGATAGACAAGAGCACGGGGAAGCAGTCTGCTCCCACTTGAAGTCCTGTCTATTAGCGAGGCTGGGTATGTAGCCATCAGCCATTGCCAGGGAAAAGCAGGTCCAGACTGCTACCAGCACTAGCCTAGGTGACAATATGACATCACTGTGTTTAGTAAGGGCTTGGGTTTACTATGGGAGGAATCTCTATTTTAAACATATTATACATATCTCATCTCTAACCAAAATTGTTCTTACCTGGTTAACACTGTCCACAGAAGTCTTGAGTATTATTTTTATACAAAAGTAGAATATGCACTTTTAGTCTGATACCAGCTAATGTGGCCATGAAAGCCTCTGAATGTAGTAGGGGTCTGGATAGAGATGGTATTTAATACCAAAAAGCCATGCTGTTGCCATGGTTTCCAGCAAGCTCAAGCACAAAGCCTGTATACTTAAGGAAGAAAACCTTAGATTCATGTGCAGGTTGATGGTCTGCCACTGAAACTTTTACTTGAGGCCAATGTCACTCTGCACATGGAGCCAGCAAAATGACCAGAGGCTGCTATTTTGTTATGTTGCTGCTGTGGGCAACCGGACTCCTTCCTGTCTGGTTCCCCAGATCACTTCATCCACCTTTCTGGGTATCTTGAATCTTTAGTAATTTAGGGCAAATGCACAACAGCTCCACCTTAAACCTGAAGCATACAGACATCCCCAGATCACTTCATCCACCTTTCTGGGTATCTTGAATCTTTAGTAATTTAGGGCAAATGCACAACAGCTCCACCTTAAACCTTATTCATACAGACCCCCAGAGAAGCCGACACTTGGTTCCTTCTCGGATATCAAAATACATATGCCGAATTCTAAAGAGTGATTTCGCTAGTCTCAATTAGTCTTCAAAGTGGAGAAGCTGCTCAGTGCTTATGTAAAATAGAACATGCCACATGACACTATTTGTTACTTCACAAGTTTTTAACACATTATTTTAACACCTCCAAGTCTATAAATGTATCCTGAAGCAGAAGCCATACTAAGCATAACTAATCAAAACTGAATCCTGTGTTCCTGGAGCTCTCACCATCATCATACCTGCACGTCTTGGGGGACAGATGGAGACTTTGGCCTAGGGTAGATGTGTAGAGAGTCTCACCTTCACCTTAAGTATGTGGGTGCTGGCATTTGGAGAATGGCAGATGGCAAGAGAATATTAACCAAATGAGCTAAATAACAATTTTGAAAGTGAAGATCAAGACCCTGTACTAAAGTTCACCTTCATTCTCTTCTGAGACTAAGGGGTGTGGGAAGCTGAGAAAGCAGAGAAGTCCACAGCCTTTGAACTTTATAGGAACAGAATGATGCTGTCATTCTGACTGTGCCCAAATCTTGGTTCCTGTGCCTCTTAAATGCTAGGATTACAGGTGTGAGCTGCCACGCTGTTATGTTGTTCGATTCTCTCTCTTTTTCTATTTGTTTGGTTTTTGAGGCATGGTTTCTCTGTATAAAAGCCTTGGCTGTCCTGGGACTCACTCTCTGCTCTACAGACCAGGCTGAGCTCAAACTCACAGGGTAGTGACAGCCAATGCCTCCCAGGTACTGGGATTAAAGATGTGTGCTAACATGCCCAGCTATATTGTTTAATTCTTAAAAGACATTAATATTGTCAGAGTAAATAACAACTCAAGACAATTAGTTATATTGTTAAAAAAAGTGAAAAGTTGATTTGGAGGTAAAGAAAAAGAACCTTAGAATGGAGAGGTTTTAACTTGTGTTGATACTACAAAGAACATTCTAGATCATCCTTTTCCCTTGCAGGTTGAAATGCAGTTATTAACTGAAAATTCTTACTTGTTAGCTACCAGGCGCATGACGGTCCAGTCCTTAGGGAACATCTCTGGGCGTATCAAAATTCGGAACACAGTAAATATCTGCAGTAGGAAATCCTGGAAAAAGAGGAAGAAGCAGTTTTATTGATTTATCATAACTGCCAGCATACACACTGACAGCACTGTAGTAGCCAGTCTCAAAGTATCTTTGGAGAAGGGAGTCAATGGCAGATCCCAGCAACAGAAGGGACCTTGAATTCTTCCCAGCCCAGCCCACTGCCCCCTCATCCTTCTCAGGAACAGGGCAAATCATTTTTTCAGTTAACTTCATAAGCTCTACATACGTAGGTCCTGGAGACGAGATAGAAAACTTGCCCCAGAAGTTAAGCACATGCTTTGCCTTATATAGTTACCATCTTTTTGGTGGGAACACATACTTTTGACTCAGAACTGTTGTCAGCCTTGGAAATATCAATCGCCCGACACGGAATTGGCACTTGTTTAAGCATTGAAAGAGATAGGATCCCAAATATTACAGGATACTTAAAGGGCGGACAGGAGGGACCAGAGCACATGCCATGAAAGAACTGGAGCTTTTTAGTAAAAAGGAGGCCTATCCCAAACAAGTCTAGCTTCAATAATCAACTAGCAAACTTAAAAGCTTTATTCCTTGTAATCTCAAGTGAGTCTAAGAAAATATATTTCTCTATCAATCTGATAGAAGGCAAAGGTAGAATGTTCAGAAATAAAAGCAACTGCAAACACAAGGTTTGTGTCTACAAATCTACCAACACATCATGTTAAACATGTAAGCTGCCTGAATAAAAGATTATGACTGTCACTCAAAACATCAGAAGACTGTCAAAAACCAAGAACCATGTGGTAGCTTTCCTGTGTGTGTGTGTTTATGTGTGTGTGCATTTCTTTTTACACATTCTAAAGGCTTCAGTCAAGCCCACAAATATTTTGACATAAATCAATTTCAGCTTTTTTGGCATCAGCACACATATGTTGGTATATGGTATGCAATATGTGGAAACAGTCCCACTAGATCACCTGTTCTTAAATGGCTGTGTGGATCTTGTGCATTTCTGCAGTCACTGGAAGTACACATTCGCCTAAGGTATCTATCTACTGGAGGCCAGATCATCTGCAGAGCTGGGAATGTATCTTAGTGGCAGAGCAAGGACTAGGCAGACACAAGACCCAGAGTTAATACTGGACACTTGGTAAAACTGGAAGGTGTTCTGAAGAGGGCCATATGCAGTCACATGCTACTCTACACATTTGCTACAACTCTCAAATGTGTAACAGCCTTGATACCAGATCTGAATTCAATTAAGGATCATTAGTAGCATTTATCCTATTAACATTTGCACTGTCAAAGTGGAATCTTGAAATATGTCATGCAAAATATCTCTCATATACTCTTCAATGCTGGAGAGTGGTAGGAGCATTGTTCTGCAACCAATATATGCAAAGAAGAAGTCAAAACAATTGTAAGGGAGGAGATGGCTTGTTAATGCAGAGACTGGATAAGAGCATTCATTTACTAAACACAGATTTAGGTTCCAGGCTCTGTGCTTAGGACACAATGACATGGTTGCCACTCAAGTGACCAACAGACATTGAAAATACAAGCATAATGAACCAGCACATTGGACAGGGTGGATGTCTTCTGTGAAGACTGAACCACAGAGTAGGAATTTTAGATAGAAAACAAAACCAAAGTGAAACAGAGGTATTACAAGTGATATACATGCTTTGCTAGGAATACATAATTTAAATGTCTGCAATGAAAGGTGTTTAGATATGGGCGGGAGATAAGGTTGGAAGGTGGACAGAAGACTGACACTGTGATAAAGATACTGCACTTGGTCCAGTCAATAATGGGAATTGTTGAAATGTTTAAACTTGAATTAAGGGCAGTTGTGGTGGTGCAGCCATCTACAATCTCAATACATAGGAGGTTTTGGAAAGAGAACAATGAGATTAATATCAGCCTGGGATACCTAGCACGTTTCAGGCCAACCTGGGATAAGTAGCAAGTCCTAGGCCAGCCTTGTGACATGATCCTGTCATAAGAAACAACATAGACTGGAGAGGTTAGATCTGATCTATTTTGAAAGTTATTATGTAGACAACGGAAAGTTTCTGAGTGTGTATAATCTCATGCCTACATCAGGATCCCTGTGCTCATTATGAAAGGTCAGAATCGACAAAGAGCTAGAGTTTCAGTGCTATATATGAAATGCCAATGATATGGACAAAACTTTAGGCCCCAGTACAAGGTGGGTGTATAACAAAACACTACTGACTGTAGAAAGAGAAAAAAAAATACTTAATCACTACCTAGTAACTGCTTTTGTTCATTAAAAAAAAAGGTAATATCCTACTGAAGAAAACATTTAAACAGTATAGGCTACCAGCCCTTAGGACTCTGCTCCCTCCCACACACTTGTGTACTGACACGGTGACTCATACCACTCACACACAAGTACCTGAGGCCCAAGAAGAAATGGCATGTGTTAAAAAAAAACAAAAAACAAAAAACTAGGAGTCACTTCAACAATAACCCCACAGGCATCCAGCTTCTTTAGGCACAAATGGAGCTGAAAACCATTAGCCTCAGCTGTTACTTGAGAACTGCATTCTTCTGAAATTCAGTTTGATTTGGAGAACCATTTAGGAAAAGCTAATACATATCATTTTCTGACTGGCATGAAAAGAAGGGACACCAGGAATAAGGATTAGCAAAAGTATCCATTAAAATTAAGCACATAATTTGTCATTATCAATTTCAAGTGTGCGCCTCCTACAACTCAGCAATATGACTTCCAGATCCATGAATCAAAATAAACATCTTTCTCAGTTATTCAGTTTCAGGCATTCTTTTACAGCAACAGAAGATGGATTAAGTCAGGAAGCTGACTTCTGTTAAGCCTCTTTGAAAACTGTGAGTTACTTGGGACTTTTAGCAAACAATCAAACATTGGTATTCTTTTTCATCAAACAGCATTATGTTAATTTGACACTTGCCCTATAGCTACTTAGTTGAATTTCAAACCTAAATGTAGAACCTCTGTTTACTAATTTGGCCTGAGACATTTCCTTTCTGGGACTAGAAGCACTTTAGTATGTTTAAAGAGGTGACAAAGGAATTTTTCAGTAGCTTGAGAGCAAAGACTGGTTTACTGACATTCAAGGAAACACTGTGCTTAGCTGTCTGAGCAAGGAGCTATGGACATTCACGAGATTCCTAGCTTTCCCAATTAACTGGAAATAATGGCATCAACCAACTTTAGAGATATGGAAGATGAAACATAACAGCTGAAGAGGGTTCAGCCACATTCCTGCTTCAAGATTGGGGAGTAGGAGCAATTCCCTAACTGTTGGCCATTATTGTTTATAGAAACCACATTAAAGCTGGGCGTTGGTGGCGCACGCCTTTAATCCCAGCACTTGGGAGGCAGAGGCACGTGGATCTCTGTGAGTTCGAGGCCAGCCTGGTCTACAAGAGCTAGTTCCAGGT